TGGAGGAAGAATTGGGTTTTTCCGAAATGAAGAGAGATTTTCATTTGCATCTTTGTATGTAAATATCTTTGGTGGTGTGTGTTGCTGAGGTTCGAGGCCAGGTTTTTCTCTAGGGTTATGGGTGTTTTCTTGCGTTTACTCTCATTCCTGAACTCGGGTTTTGGAATTGCAGACATTTCTGATTTTAGCTATGTGGACCTTTCAGAATTCCCTTTCAGAATCCACATAGCTCTGGTATGTATTCTGTGACTGCTCAGTGCTGGCACTAAAGATCGCTGAGGGAGGTTTCGAAATCTTTTCTGTCCTAGAACAGGAGGTGATGCTGTTGTCTGGTACCGGCCTCGGCTGGGGGCGAGTGCCTCGTGCCCACCACAGGCGCCTACCATGCCCTTCACCAAAGTGCTGTTTGTTGACCCCTCCCTACCTCAGTCCTCGTTCCCAGTCAGCAGAAGCAGCAGTCAAGGCCCAGTCCCCACTTCACAGTGTTTGGAGGAAGCCGAGACAAACAGACAGATACGTTGGTTCTCTGTCTCAATTATCTTTCTCTAAGACTGGAGTGCTCCAAGCACGGGGACGTTCTTCTTTCTTCCTGGCACACCTGTGTGGCTGCCAGCTAACGTTGTCACATTCCCTTAAACCCCGCTGTCTTCTCCCTTCAGCCCAGACAGGCCCCATTCTTTCTGAGAAGTGGAGTTATTAAAGAGGTCATCTGAACAATGCAAGCAAACACATTTTAGGGAGGTTTTTGGCCTGAAATACACACATAATTCCTTCCCTCCTCCTTTTGTGAGTGTAGAAATTGACTTTCTGCAGCTACACTTGCGTATGGGGCATTGACATTTATATACTTGGGGAAGAGCCGTTAACATTCCTTCCGGACCCACCGCAGAACCGAAGTCCATGTAGCTGAGGTCCCCGTGAATTACCTTGAATTTAGTGGCTGTTCCCTTAACTCAAAACAGAAATGTCAAATGTGTTTAGGATTTGAGTCAAGCGTTGGACTGAGGGTGGGGATGCCGAGTGGACGGGGGAGGTCGCGGAGTTACTTCTAACAGGCTCTGAGCAGCGGTATCAGCAGGCTAACAACGGCCCCCAGAAATCAGACCGCGGGGGTAGGATGTTTCCGGGCTCAAAGTCCAGGGTCCCATAGCCTTCTTCACCCCTACCTTTTTAGCCCCTTTTGCAACTCAGAATTTGCCAAACCGCTTTCACTTATTTTTCAATTAAAATGCAAATCATTTGCTTTCACATGCCCCCCCCCCAATCTATCTAAACTGTGTAGAGGTGCGCGGGGATCCTATGACCACGTGTTACACGCTCCACTCTTGTAGGGGGGTGCTCGAAAAAGTCAACTTTATTAGGCCGTGCACAGGAAGGCTTGCTGGTGTGGGGATCCCCGAGGGAGAGCAAGTCTCAAGGGCATTTGAATGCAGCGAGGAAGTCTGCCCTGACCACAACCGGGCTCCTGCATCTCCACCCGCGTGTCCGGGACTTGGTCCGGAGAATGGTTTTAACCCCTCAGAGCCAAGGGCAGAGGGATCTCTGCCCCGCGAGTGACTGGGTAACCCCACTCCCTCTGAGGACCGTCCCTTGTTCTTCCCGCTCCCAGCTGGAGACAGACCGAGCAGATCCAGGCCAGCCAGCACCTGGCAGGAGGCTCCGGCCTTCCCGCCGCGAGCCTGCGTCTGGAATACACGCGGCGCCACGCGAGATTCAGGCACCAAGGGTCACTCCCAAGGGACCAAGGTACATAGATCCAGAATTTCTATTGTCATAATTTAATTTAAAACAATGCTATTTTAATTTGGGAATATGAGCGACACAAAAAGCGAAAGACAGAGACTTCTTTATACTCATTTCAGCAACTATTTACCGATGGCAGTAAACGTGAATTGAGTTGAAAATCTCTCTCTTTCTCTGTCTCTCTCTTTCTTCTCTCTCGCTCTAGTTGTCTCTGATTTTTGTGCGTCTCTCTTTAACACTCTTGCCCCACTATCAGATACTAAATTTACAATAGGAAAATGTTCAACTCTTCCCCGGGTCACAATATTTACATGAGATAGAAGGGGGATTGAGTTTTGAAAGTGGGGTCTTTGGGGATAACTAACCCCCTTCCTCTCAATTCCCTACCTAGTCCTTGAGAATGCAGCATCCTGGAGGCTGTAAGGAGGACGCTGGAGGGACAGGCTGGGTCTAGAAGAGAAGGTGTGTGCCACTGCGGAGAAGGAGTGTCCGGGCGAGAAAAGTTTCGTTCGTAACGAAGCAAGAGGCACAGGGGTCCCGGTTTCAGTGCCACGGCCGACTACACCCGCCACCGTCCTCCCCAAACCTCTTGGCGAAGGCAGAAGATCGCTGAGGTTTAGACGCCAGCGCTGGATCCCGGCAGGGAAATGCAGACAGTCTCCCATTAGTTGTCTTGCGAGACGAGAGAGTCTTGGCCCCACTCCTTATAATTCAGGTTGACTGAAGGACTTCACCCAGGTCAGATTCTAAAGTCTACGCAGTGATGGGTTTAACCCAGTCTTAATGAAGATGGTGAAGAAGGAAAAGAAGGACCAAGGAACATTACTTTTGTCTCAGAAGAGAATACAAATTCCAAAAGATAAACACCCCTCCCCCTCAATCCCAAACTCAGGCTCAAGCTGACACCCTTAAACACTAGTAGAGCTCTGGAAAGGAAGGTTGTCCCAGGGGAGTAAGCCCTCCTGTCTGCTGCTTGGACCCAAAAAAGTACTTAGGCATTTGTAGAAAAACTCCATCCTTCGCTGGTGCCGCTCAGATTTCATTTTTGAGCCATTTATTGCGGGTTTTTTTTTTTTTTGGTTTTCCATGCATTAAATCTGGACTTAAGGATCTCATCCAAATTGCTGTAGTGACCAAATTGTAATACCTCCCGAGGGTGTATTACATTAACATACTGAATTCTCAAAATTGTCCGAGGGTTTTCCTCCTCCAGAGCACAGTTCCACCCTGCCGGGAACTTAAAAACAGGCCAGAGATGGAAAAGAAAGAGAGAGAATGAATAAAGGAACTTACTGTTCAAGTTCTAACTCCTGGACATCCCACCACCACAGCCCAGAAGCCCCGGACACGTCCACCTCCAGCAACAAGCCTGGAGTTGAGAGCAGGGACCAGGGTTTTGAAGAGGGTTTTGAAAAGCTTACCCCCAGGGGGTACCCGGATACTTTTGTATCTGAATGTTTCAGCTTGAATTTTTGTGATTCTTCCCCCAAGGAAGCCCAAAACAAAGAACAACAATAGCCAAAGGGGAGAAAAGTATTTAAAAAAAAATCAATGGTCTAAGCAATCAGATGACAGGTATATATTTCCATTAAGCTGATTCCATTCTCAGCCATATACTATAACAATCGCGGGGATGGGTGGGACCCAGGCATAAAAAGAAAAGTGAAGGAGGAAGAACAGAGAAGAAAAGTGGGAGGTAGAAAGATGGAAGAGATGACAATCCTTCGCCCTACAAGGGGATTAAGAACATCTATAGGCTTAAGGAACAACAAATTAATTTACACAATTCTGGGAGAGCCCAGACGGGTTTTAATTAATCCCTTCAAAAGAAGGAGCCAGGCCAGGGCTGCACCGGCTGCCTGCTCCATTAGCTCCGTTTTACAAGGGACCAGACTCTGTTCTAGGTGAGGCGCCGAGAGCTGGTGGGGGAAGGGGGCAGGATGACGCGAAAGGGCGAGGGGGGAAGCTAGGGAAGAATATGAACTGCTTTTCCATAAAAGGGCTGGGTTTTCATTATTCTTCTCTTTAAAAAGTAATACCCTCTTCGTCTCTGCTTCCCCCTCCCGTTTCTCATTTTATTTAACACAATTAATTGTGGCTGCCACTGGGCCCACCGAGAACTGCACCACTCATCAGGTCCCGCCCCCTCCGGGTCCCGCCCACAGGAGAAAGGAGGTGGGAGGTGGAGGGGACAAGGCGGGCAAGGCCTTACGGCTGGTCCTCCTTAGCCAATCATAGGGCGCAGAGCTCCGAGTGGGCGTGCCTTAGAGGTGACGCAAGGCTCAAGACTGCGCGCTATTGGAGGCGGTGGTTACACCCCCAATCTGTGCTCCACTCCCCCTTAGCCCCACCCCTCCCGGCCGCCCCAGAGTGACGTCCCTCAAAGTTCTCATTTTTGCACCCCACTTCCCCCTCCCTTTCGTCCCCCAGCTAAAGAGGAGTAGGCAGTGATGCAAATGTTTTATTACCTTTGAGAGCTTCATCCGAACTGTCAGGCCTGCAGGGAGAGAGGAGAGAAAGTGGAAGAGCCACGGAAAGGGTCACTTTGGCCAGAGCACAAGACTTGGAAGAGCGAAGCTTGTAAAGCCGCGAAGAAAATGGAAGAGAGGAGAGTCAAAGGCTGAGAGTGAGAGGCAGCGAGGGCTCTGGGGGGTGGGGCGGGGGTCGCCAGGCCCATTTGCAGAAGTGGACAGAGGAGTGGAGCCGACACCAAACCGTCAGACTTTTCACTCTTAAGTTTTTGTTTTTCTATTTTTCCCTCTCACCCTTTTTCTTTTCAATATTGCAACTCCAGTGCTCTGTAGAGGGGAAGGCAGGTCGCGGTGCCGAATCCGGGAGGCGCGGGGACCGGCTGTACTGTCCTTCCCCGGCGCAGAGGCAGAGCCTCCCGCCGGCTGGATGCGCTCTCCGCCCGCGCGCTGCGAGCGCCGAGTGCGAGTTAGCCTTGCGGCGGGAAGAGCAGCGCCACGGGCGGAACCCGGCGTCCTTTGAACCTCCCCAAAGAAAGCGAGCCAGCCCCCACCCTCCAAACATCAAAGTGGAGATTCGGTGACGCTTAACTTCGTTACAAACTCTCAGGGGCCAGCTTGGGTTTTGTTTTGCTTATTTCCCCAGGGGTGGGGGGAAGAAGATGAGAAGTAGCGCACTTTGAGCAGCGAGGAAAAGTAAGGAAGAAGAAAGAACCGGGGATTAAATCCAGAACTCTCGGAGCAAAAGAAGAGCCAAACCCACCCGGACGCCCGCTCTTCTCTGCGAGCCGCGCCTCCTGCGTAGCGGGTTTGGACATTACTGCTGCGCAGCTCTGAGAGCAACTCTTGGCGGCGGCGATCTCGGACCACTTGGCAGGTCGCCTCCGAGTGCGCGGAGCGACTCTCGCTCGTGCCCTCGGCGCTTCCGGCTCCTCTGAGCCCCGCCGGGGGCACCAGTTCGCGCCCCAGCTGCGCCGCTGCAGGCTCGGGCCTGGCCGTGGGATGTTAGCGGTGGGGGCGATGGAGGGCACTCGGCAGAGCGCGTTCCTGCTCAGCAGCCCGCCCCTGGCCGCCCTACACAGCATGGCCGAGATGAAGACCCCACTGTACCCCGCTGCGTACCCCCCTCTTCCCGCCGGCCCCCCCTCTTCCTCGTCTTCGTCGTCGTCCTCGTCGTCGCCTTCCCCGCCTTTGGGTGCCCACAACCCAGGCGGCCTGAAGCCCCCAGCCGCGGGGGGGCTCTCGTCCCTAGGCAGCCCCCCGCAGCAGCTCTCCGTCGCCACCCCACACGGCATCAACGACATCCTAAGCCGGCCCTCCATGCCGGTGGCCTCAGGGGCCGCCCTGCCCTCCGCCTCGCCCTCTGGTTCCTCCTCCTCCTCTTCCTCATCTGCCTCTGCCTCCTCCGCCTCCGCTGCCGCCGCCGCTGCTGCCGCCGCCGCAGCCGCCGCCTCATCCCCGGCGGGGTTGTTGGCGGGCCTGCCCCGCTTCAGCAGCCTGAGCCCGCCGCCGCCGCCGCCTGGGCTCTACTTCAGCCCCAGCGCCGCGGCCGTGGCCGCCGTGGGCCGATACCCCAAGCCGCTGGCGGAGCTGCCCGGCCGGACGCCCATCTTCTGGCCCGGAGTGATGCAGAGCCCGCCCTGGAGGGACGCACGCCTGGCTTGTACCCCTCGTGAGTACGATCGCCCGCGACCCCGGCGCCTGCCGGTTGCGCGCTCTCAGGTCACAGCCGCTGGTGTGCCTGCAGATCGGTGCACTCTCTTGCCATCCCTATTAGCTTGGCAGCGCGGGAATTGCAAGATTTAGGTTGGGCAGGGCGTCCATCGAGGGATTCTTGCTTTCCTGAGCTCCCGTGGCTGCGTCCAGGCGCCCCCCTTCTCCCCAAGTCTTGGGCATGCCTCGGCTGAGCCAGTGGTGTGCGTGTGTGCGAGTGGAACACAATTACAGTAGGGACCAATGTCTCGTCGGAGGCCGGGGCTGCTCCCGAAACGTCCCGGCCAGAACGGCCAAGACCTCAGGCCGGACCTGAGTTAGAGAAGTGGGCAGGGGACGAAAGGCCACTGCACCCCAGCTTTCTAGGGGACTGCCTGCCCTCCAGGGCCCTACTCTGCCAGCCTGACCCTTTGCCTACCTTCGAACTGGGGAGGATCGGAGGATCGGCGGCGGCTGCCCCTCCACCGCCCGGAGCGAAGTGCGTGTAATTGCAAGCAGGTCTCTGCCCGAGGCGTCCCCACCTAACCTCTTCGCCCTTGAAGCCCAGTGAAGACAGGGGGGCTGCCCCGGAGGAGGGTGAGCGCCCAGGCGCTTCGGGCCGCTCCCTGCCCTGGAGCCAGAGCTTTCCCTCCCGCCTTGACCCCAGGGGCCGCGTCACAACCCGGCCTTTTAGGGGCATCGCGGAACTGAACATTCTAACACAAGAAAGAGCTGGGGGGTGGCAGTGGTGGGTGGGAAGCCGCCACTGGTGAAGGGCCACGTACCGGGTAAAATGCAACATCCCGCAAAGACCTTGCTGGAGGCAAACTGAGTTGCTCCAAGATCTGCTAGTCTGGGCAGCGGAGCTCCGCGCGGCGGAGGCTCCCAGCCCTCCAGGTGGGGATCAGCGCCCAACCTGGGGTCATTTTCTTGCTTAATTCTTTGCTTTCGATCGAGTCCCCAAAGTTTTCCGAAGTCTTTGGACCACCTTTCGTGTAGCTGAGCAGCAGTAACTGCGGAAAGTTGCGGAAGCCGAGAAGAGGCTTCTTTGGGCAGCCCCGCACGCTGGGCGGCAGGGCTGGTAGGGGTGTCAGGGAGACGCTATTGTATCGGTTCTAGAGGCCGTGTTGGGGCCCAACAAAGGGGCGCCCTCCCCCCCCCCGCCGCTGCGGAGTTGGACTTCGGGGCGATTTAGCTTTCTTGTGGGCAAAAACAAGGAGCCCTTTGTTGCCGGGAAACAGGTTAGAGAAGCGTTGGAGGGGGTAGGGATGGGTGGGGAGGAGAAAAAACCTAGTTATCCTCCAGCTAACGTTCTGGGACCCAGGGAAAGCCGACTGGATTAGGAGGAAAGAGTGGTCTTTTTCTGGTACCCCTTGGTTTAATGAGGCTTCGGGATTTGGCTCTAGTAAACTTTAGCATTAGGCTCCCTAGCTGTTCACCGACGTCGGTGTTATATTTACTTCTGCTACAAACATATCTGGCTTAAAATACACACACACACACACACACACACACACACGGACGTAAAAAGGCTGAGGGAGAAGCGCATTGGAGCTGGAAGCGCCACTAACACTTCTGGTGTCCTCTTTCTTTTCCTGTAAAACATTGTGTTTCGAGTTGTTTTTTTCTCCCCCCACCCCCAGTGTAGCTGCGTGTAGTAACCGATTGTTTTCCCCCTTCCCTCTTTTTTTTTTTAATTGGTTCTCTCAGATCAAGGATCCATTTTGTTGGACAAAGACGGGAAGAGAAAACATACGAGACCCACGTTCTCCGGCCAGCAGATCTTCGCCCTGGAGAAGACTTTTGAACAAACTAAATACTTGGCAGGGCCTGAGAGGGCTCGCTTGGCCTATTCATTGGGGATGACAGAGAGTCAGGTCAAGGTGAGTGGAACTTTCAAACCTCGAGGGATAAGCCTTCCGCCTGGCGCGCTCACGCACACGCACACACACCGACACACACACACACACACACACACAGAGCCCTCCAAGGAGCTTGGGGAGAAGTTGAGAGCAGTGAAGGGGTTGGTGGGGGGAGGCAGTTACAAAGGCGGTGCGGGATCTTGCAGGCAGGCAAACTGTTGATGAACAAAAGGAATCAAGCCCCCGCCTTCGAAATTAGGTTAATCTAGATAGCAGCATGTGCTAGGGGAACTCTCCATTATTAGAGAATAAAAGCATTACTGAAACATCAGCCCGAAGGACAGATCAGGCCAGTTAGATAGCTTCTATATATTCTATGTGTAGAGATATTCAAGCTGTGGTTTATCAATTCAGGCTCTATTAGTTATATAATTTACTAATGTAGATCAGCCTCATAAGACCACTGCATTAATTTGCAAGTATTTTTTAAATCCACAGGAGCTAACCACTTACCACAGATGAACCTGATTTTAGTTTGGCTGAAGGCAATCACTTCGGAATAGTAATTTTCCAAATGAATTGACAAGTTTATTACGGTATTTTAGGACTGAATTTTGTTTAAAATAAATTTATCAACAGATTAAGATACTGTACCGGTCATGACAACATTTTATAATTAAAATGTCACTTTACTTATAAATGAGTTGTACAGTATTTTTCTAGAGATTCAAATTTTAGAAATCTCTCCCTGAAAAATAATGAGATTGCATCAGCTGAGTAAATTCTGATGGTTTCCTATATTTCCAGTATTCTTTTTTTTAATCTCTTTTCCCCAGTTTATTACATTTGTTTCTTTGAGGCATAAATCTTTTTCCATTAGTTATATTGTCGCTCTTTAAGTAGGAATAACACTAACCAGTAACCATGTCTGCTGGTTAGAGTGTTTCCCCGTAGACAAACATCCCAAAATACATTTCAGAAGTGAATTTGTACGTGGCCATTAGAAAACCATCACTGTTACAATTATTTTTGCAGTGGGTTGGTACAGAGCCTACCATAGTAATCTGGAGGTCTTCATTTGTCACTGTAAATATGTCTGCATGGCTAGATGTGAATTATTATAGCTGTATAAAGGAAATCAAAATCACTTTCTTAACAATTCGGATTCTGTAGATAAAATACATAATGGATGAGAAGCATAAAGAGAGGATAATTCAATATCTTTGGGAAATTGGTTGCTTGTTGCTGACGCTTTAGGTTAAAATATGCATATGTATCAAACAGTGTCAAGCAACATGACTTGGTGTAAAAATATTTGTATATAAGGTGAATGTCTGGGGCAGGAACAGTATTAAGATAACAGTCATGCTAATATTGGGAAATAATGTAATTGGCAAAATTTCACTTTTAAAAAATAATCAATGATAATTCTAGCTTTCACTTTAATTTGGTTTTATGAAAAACATTAAAAGAAGGAAGAGAGACAGGGAGCACAAGCTCACTAACACTGATGATTTTGACTGAGCTATTAAATATTTTCATTCGTGTATGTCAGTTATTATGGTTGGCTTGGTGTTTGTATTTTAGCAGATTTTAAAAAAAAATCTCTACATGTTACCTTGTGCCTGTAAGTGGGACGAGATGGTTCACCTGCCATGTTCGTGTGTATTCCAATCTGAGATAAGTGAAACAAATATCCAAAAGTGAAAAGAACAGATGTAATTGGGGTGAAGACTGTCTTTGCCTTTTCCCACAAATCACACTACAAAGCAAGTACAATTCAGGTTGTTTAAATTTTCTTAATCTAAGAAAGTGCGTAAGGACTAAAATCACACTCAGGGTAACTTTAAGAAGGGGAAAAAAGTTTTCCACTAGAAAGTAGGAAATCGAACACCTTTTATTTTTTTTAAGGGAAACTCATTTTAAGTTTCCAAGTTTTGTTTTTACTCTTCTGAGAAATCCCTCACTGACAACCTCAATACTCTTGTGTTACTTACTATTGCTATGGCAACGGCAGTTAGTTTGCTGGTCCCCATTACTGGAGGAACCTGGGGCGGTGGAGACTGACTTTGACGGCCAAGACAAGGGAGGTCTCGGAGGGAGGGTGGCAGCCGGTCAGGGGCCCGCCGGAGGTACCGCGAGACGTGCAAGTGGTGTCACTGGCTAGATTTGCTCCTGTTAATTTCTTACGCCCTGGTCTCTCCTTTTTGTCTCCTTTTCCCTCCCCGGCCTTCAAGGTTTGGTTCCAGAACCGCCGGACCAAGTGGAGGAAGAAGCACGCGGCCGAGATGGCCACAGCCAAGAAGAAGCAGGACTCGGAGACCGAGCGGCTCAAGGGGGCCTCGGAGAACGAGGAGGAGGACGACGACTACAACAAGCCTTTGGACCCCAACTCGGACGACGAGAAAATCACGCAGCTGCTGAAGAAGCACAAGTCCGGCGGCGGCGGCGGCGGCCTGCTGCTGCACGCGACCGAGACCGAGGGCTCGTCCTGAGCGCCCGCGCGGCCGCACCTCCCCGGCTCCTGCCGGGCCTCGGGGCCGCTGGGGGCGCGGGGACTGCGGAGGCGGCGCCCCCACGCCCGCCTGCCCCCTGGGGCTCGGAGGACCGGCCCCGCCTGCCGGCACTCTTTGCTATTTTCTGAGATGTATATATCTATTTTTTTAACCTTGAAGTTGAGGGGAGGAGGTGGGGGAGGAGAACTGGGGGTTGATGAGGCAAAAAAGGACCCCTAAACGCGCTGCAAAAATAACGCACCCGAACCCCGCAGCCGGGCGACCGTCCCGGCTCCGCTCGGGGTCCCCAGACCGGTCCCCATCGGCGGGCAGCGTTCTCCCGCCGGGGTCCTCCCCCTCCACTCGCCCCACTTTTGCAGGAGGCCGGGAAGGGGGCGCCGGGAGGTGCTTTAGAAGGGTCAGCCCCCCACGACGCGGGGGACCTCAGAGCCACGCGGGCGGGCCACCGCCACCGAGGGGAAGAGGGCGTTCCTCCCCACACACAGTGCAGTGTCGACTAAAGCAACCTGTTGAAGGCTCTTTGTAAATAAATCGTGAGTTACACTGACTAGAAGTTACTTTATTGTGAATATTTAAAATGTAAAATGCCTTTTTTTGAATTTCGTATAAAAAGATGGACCTTCTTCCTTTTACCCCTCTCCTTTTAAGAGCTGTTCAAACCACACTGTCCTCTTTTACTTTGAACTTAATTTGAGAAGCATAGACTAGAATGTTATCACCGTTCCCTCCACTCCCCCCCCTTCCCCGTTTGGATTTGTTGACTTTTACTTTCCCCCTTCACCCCTCCTTTCCCTGCCCTAAACAGCCTGGGTCTGCACTGGGCTCCTGCCCCCAAGACTTGAAGCAGAGGACTTGGGAACCAGGCGGGGCCTCACACCTGCTCCTTCATTCCTTTCTGAAATTGCACAGTGGTTTGTTGCTATTTATTAGTGATTGAAAGAAAGTATTGGGGAGGGAGGGGCCACAATAGCTTGTATTTAATTTAACTCCTTTCTGATAAAAATGCGTGTTAAAGTAGATGGTGGGAATTGTTACAACTGCTCTGGGTCATAAACATAAAAATCCGTTTAGTTGCTGTAATTGAATTTGAGTGTTTTGTATCATAAGAAAACTATAGAATATGTAAATTGTTTTCTTTTTAAAGCTAATAATGGTGATATATTAGCATCTTTAACCTTTATTAATTTATATAAGGAATTCGGTTTGTAAAGAGAAGAAACCCACCCCCCTTTGCAAGACCAGTTAAATGTAATGCACTTTCTGTTTCAAAGGATAAATCAAATTAAAAAACAGTTTGAAGACGTCTGTTGCCTTGGATGAAAGGGTACAGATCATCTGATCTCATCAGAGATCTCAAACAATAAAAGTCAAGATCACACACCCAAAAATTGTTATATCGGTTTCTTGGGTGAAATAGCTGTTACTTAATTTTTTTGGAGGGGGGGGAGAGTAGGGTTCTGTTTCTTATTCTGGGTTGAGAAGATAAAAGAATTGCAGCCCCACTCAGAACGCTTCTCGGAGAGACTTGCCTAGTGGGCTGCTTCTGATGCCTGCAGAGGTCCAATTTCTTCCTCCACGCAGTTTCCTTTTCCGAGGAAGCCCCGGAGGGTTGGGGGTGGGGATGGAGAAAGACTTCATTTCCATATTTCCAAGATAGCTCCTCGGTCAGCCCTTAGTTCGATTAGCCTAGAGAACGAGGCAGAGCTCACTGGCGCAGCAGCCTAGCTGTTTGAAGCTAACATTTTCTCTGTAACCGGTAAGACTGCAAAGACTGGTGGAAAGACAGGAACCCTGATTTTGCTAAACATTACTGTAAAGGATGCATTTAAAGAAAGTTTTCTTTAACTGATGTAGAAATCTTTAGGGTTAAGAAAGCGATATCATAGTTTCTCCAGTTGAATTTGTAAAGAGAGAGAGAGAGAGAGAGAGAGAGAAGAAAGAAAAATTCGGGAAGCCCAGAGAGAGGACTGTGTCACTCTCTGTCTGGGGGATCTTTTTGTTTTCAGACACTCAGTTACAAGCTCAGTGAAATATCATTATCTCCTGAGCGTTTCAGGTTAATGAGCTTGTGCTCAAAGAGAGAAAAAATCAATAAAATTCAGTAGATTCTTCTGGCTAATGTTAGGTAAAGAAAGTGTGAGTCTGTTTTGTTCCCTTGAAGATAAAAACTGTGTAAAAACTGAAATTTTCTCAAATTCAACAAAATGAGATTGCCTAAAGGAAATTATTGTAGAATATCTTCCTGATGGCATGGTTTAACAGAAAGAAAGTACGAAAGTCTGCCCTTTCTTTTCTGTAGTTTGTGAAGTTCTTTTTTTGTTTGTTTGTTTGTTGTTTTTTTGGCTGGTGCTGGGTTTTGTTTTTTTTTTTTTTTTTTTTGAG